TAGATGGTGGGATTTATGCAAGGAAAACTGTAGAAAATCAAGGGAAGGAATTAAGAGCAATTAATTTCGAGTATCAAATTCAATTTGCTACTAAACATGAGAAACTGACAATTTAAACAATGGACTTATTTACATATTCGCAACAAAAATCAACATTAATTAGAATAATATTTCCAACGTGTATAAAACCGTCAATTTTTCGATCGGTTTAGCTCTTTTTCCTGTATGGTATATAAACATATAAGAATTTTGCGAGATGCATGTAAATACCCCTAAATTTTAATACATGCTAATGAAGAATTGTTATGCCATTCTACACTAATACATCGACACCTACTTATATTGGAAACATTTTAGAATTATTTGTTTGGTTGTAAACTATATCTAGATTTTTTTTATTCGATTTGTAGTAAAATTAATTCAATATAAAACTTAGCAGTGGAGTTGAACACAAACAATGGTGTTTCGAAGCCATGGCAGTGACGCCGGGTATAAAGCAGAGGAATGTTGAGTCCGTATATAATTATCCCTTCACCGCAAGAGAAAAATGTAATTAATGAAGGAATAAAAGTTAATTTAGCTAAATAAATAAAGATTAAAGATTAATCTGCTAAAAATATAGTAATATATATAGTAACATATATATATATATATACAAATGGACGTTAACGTATACACCACATAGGTCTTATTTATTTACGTATCTAACACCTTTCATATTTACATACATAAAACTTTAGCATCACATAAAAAATATCTCTATTACTAGCTTTTCATAAGTGAAATATGTACATCTTTTCAATCTTTCATAGTGTTATAAATATAAATATCAAGCTTCAGATGTTGGATGTGTAAATATATATATATATATATATATATGTTGACCTCACTTTTGTTTGAGGTTTAGTTTTCCCTCTTTAGTTAGCCTAGGGTCTAGCCATAGGACTTTCCTATTGACTATTCGTAGAAAACTATAGAAGACACCCTCACCATTAGAAATTTCAAACTCTTCTTTACTCAACTTAAAGTTCCACATATTGGTTTCAACCTCTAAATACTTAGTAGGTGGGGTCACTATAAGGGAAACTCAAGATGAGTCACCCTTAGGATTGCTGG